CCGGATTTTGATTCTACTGCATGTACTGGCTTTTTGGGAGCCTAGTCTGTTTGGATGCGCACCTTCCTAGACCTGGATGGAGCGGGGGAGCGCTTGGATTTTTCACAGGGCAGGGCACCCTGACTTCTCTTAGGACTGGAGAATGAAGGGGAGGGGTAGTGGGGGGAGGAGAAGGGAAATGGGAGGATGGGAGGAGGTGGAAATTTTTAATAATAAAAAAAATATAGATTTAAAAAAAAAAAAGAACCCCAGATCACCAGCCCAGGGAAGGCACCATTCACAATGGGCTGAGCCCTCCCTCATCAATCACTAATTAAGAAAATGTCTACAGACTTGCCTACAGCCTGACCTTATGGAGACATGTTCTCAATTAAAGCTCCCTCCTCTCATATGACTCTAGCTGTATCAAATTGACATACAATTTAACCAGCACAGGTAGTTTGAATGATAACATTTCCTACAGGCTCATGTATTTGAAATCTTGATCCTTGGTTGCTGTTAAAGTTTGGGGAGATTTAGGAGATGTGGTCTTGTTGGAGGAAGTATGTCACCGGAATGGGTTATGAGAATTTGAAAAGAATCTTCCTTCATTTCCAGTTGCTTTCTCTTCTTCACGCTTGCATTCTGAGATGTGAGTCCTCAACTTCCTGCTCCTGTTGCCATTCCTCCCCATCATTATGGACTCTATCCCTCTGGAATCATAAGCCCAATAAACGATTTCTTTTGTAAGTTACTTAGATCATGGTGTTTTATCACAGCAACAGCTATATCCTAATATATCATTATTTCCTTGGCAAAGGAGTCACCAAATCTAACATTAAAGACAACCCTTCTCTGCATAGCATAGTGAACCATGCTTGTAATACCAGCCCTGGGGAGGCAGGGCCTGGAGAATTCCTGACTTAAGGCCAGCCAGGACTTGGTTTCAGAAACTCAAGGACAGGGGATGCGACTTAGCAGCAGAGGATTGACCTACTATGCACAGGGCCCTGGGCTCCACAAAGAAGCAACCAACAAAACAATGCTTCCCAGTCATTGTTTTCCTTGCCATGCCCTGCAGGTCTTGTCTCTAGTTAGAGATAGTACATGCGTGCGTGTATGTATGTGTGTGTCTATGTGTGTGTGTGTGTGTGTATGGTGGCGCCAGAGTGTACGTTCTAGAGACCTCCTAGATACTCCTTTGCCCTGTCCTGTGTCAGGCAAGCTAATCTTTCTGTCCCCAAGGTTATGGTTTTCAAGTGAGTTGATGAGGCTTTTTACACTGGAGGTTGTTGTGAAAAACTTAAATGACATAAAAACACTGGTGACCAAACAGAGCAGTAGCATTAAAAAAAAAAAAAGATGGGATGCATAGTTGAAAAGCCTGTAAAGATACACAACAAAATGCTAATGACCTCTTAACATTAGATGAGTGGGATTTATGAGCTTTAAAAAATGAACTCCCTTTGTGCTTTTCTTTATGTTTAAAATTTCCACAATGAGCATACATCATTTTTATAACCCCCAATTACAAATGCGAATTAAAATTCCACCAAACATAAAATTCCAGCTGAAATGATACTTTTATTAAAACTTTCCAGTTTTCTCATTGGCAGGGATCCCTCTCTGAGAAAGTTAGGGAGTCATGCTGAGACCTAGTTTGGTTTCCTGTACAAGGAGGGCTAATAACATTGGAATAAAAAATATGCACACTGTTGTACATGCATATCAAATATAACGAAGGCCCTGGACTTAGTAATGGCTCAGTTTATCATTTTTGGACTTCATGTTAATGCAGAAACAATACTCAGCCAGTGGAATCTGCACTTCAGATTTTGCATTTTGACTTTTCCCCTGGGTCAGCCGTTCTTTGATGGACACCCTCTCATAACACTGGAGAGAGGCAAGAAGCCAGAACTTTTAACCACTTCCAAGACCTCAAAGGTGAAAAATAGATACTCTGGAGTACTATGTTGCCAGCTTGTTTGGGTTGTTCTATTTTGTATTTTCCCTCCTCCTCCCCCTCCTCTGCTTCCTGCCTTTCCTCATCCTCCTCTTCCTCTTCTTTTCTTCTGAGTTTTGGGACAAGATCTTAGTGTATAGCTCAGGCTGGCCTCAAACACACTGTCCTTGTTTGCCTCTCGTTGCTGTGATAAACACCATGACCAAGAGCAACTTAGGAGGAAAAGGTTTATTTCATCATACACTTTGCAATGACAGCTTGTCACTGAGCGAAGTCAAGGCAGGAGATCAAGGCAGGAACCTGAACGTAGGAACGGAGGCGGAGACTATGGAAGAACACTCTTTACTGAATTGCTTCCCCTGGGCCATTTACTTAGCTTATTTAGACACATCCAGTCCACCTGCCCAGGGATGGCACTGACCAAAGTGAGCTTGACCCTCCTCCACCAGTTAGCAGTCAAGATAATGCCTTAAAGATACACCCAAAGGCCAACATGGTCAAGACTGTGGCCTTTCTCTCAGTGTGATTCTCTCTTTCCAAGTATGTCTAGGTTTGTGTCAAGTGAAAAAAATTAACCATCCTACTCACTATGTAGCTCAAGCTGGCCTCGAACTTGTAGCAGTTCTTCTGCCTCAGCCTCTTAAATGCTGGGATCACATGCAAACATGATCCATGATTTTATCCTACCATTTCTACAAAATGCCTGTCTCTGTACATGAGAGATTCAACACCTTATTGCACAATAGATTTTGTCTTAGACAAGTTTGCCCAGACACATGGTCTGATAGAAATGTTCTTGAGCTTGTTGAGGCTAATAGGCGGTTCCATAGGTTAGATAAATTAGGTGCATTTTGGCTTAATATTTCTTTCTTTTTTTCCCCTTGCACCGTATATATTTATTTATTTTCTTGTTTTTACATCCTAACCAAAGCTTCCCCTCCCTTCTCTCTCCCCAGTCCCTCTATATTTCCCCCACTCCCATTCATTTCTTCTCTACTGTTTCTCTTCAGATACAGGCAAGAATCCCTTAAATAGCAGCCAGCCATTGTATACCAAACTGCACTGAGACCAGGCACCCTCTCCTCCACCAACTTTGAAAGAGGCACTTTGGCAGAGGAAGGGTTCCAAAATCAGGCAACAGAGTCAGAGACATCTGCTGCTCTAGTTGCTAGGAGTCCCACAAGAAGAACAAGTGACACAACTGTAACATATATGCAGAGGTCTTAGGTTGGTCCCATGTGGGCTTCCTGATTGTTGGTTTGGTCTCTGTGAGCTTCTGTGAGCCCAGGTTAGTTGGTTCTGTGGGTTTTCTTGTGGTGCCCTTGACACCACTGGGTCCTATGTTCCTTCTTCCTCCTCTTCTGCAGAATTCCCTGAGTTTCACTAATGTTTGGCCTTAGGTCTCTGTATCCATTTCTATCAGTTGCTGGGTGAAGCCTCTCTGACGCCAGTTGGGCTAGGCACCAGTCTATGAGTACAGCGAATATCATCAGGAGTAGCTCCACTGCCTTTTTCATGCTGTTATTTGTGCTTGGTTCTGTCCTAGGTCTTTGGTGGGGGGGTTCCCACTTCTGAGTCCTGGCCCTCAGTGGGGAGCTCCCTCTCAAGGTGCCAGACTTCAGCTGTGATTAATATTTCAACTTATGATGGGTTTGTTTTGATATCACAGTTGCTGCTTGCATCATAATGGTTCATTTTACCATTTAAGCACTTCATGTCATTAGCTAACTATAGCTATCTGTAATATATCATTTATCTATCTGTCTGTCCATCCATCCACCATCCATTCACCATCCATTCACCATCCATTTACCATCCATCCATTTACCATCCATCCATCCATCTATCCATCTTTTGTCAAAATCCTGGGCTATGGAAAGCATTTTGTTATTTGATATCTTTTGAAATGGTTCTCATTGGTTGATTTTGAATTTCTAACCTCCTTGCCTCAGCATTCTGAACGCTGATAGTATAGCTGTGCACCACCATTCTTGGGAAGTGGGCTCTTTCTTTCTAATATCCAGAAACATTTATTATCTTTCTTGCTTATCACTTGTTCTTGATACTATGATTACCTGTGCACTTTCTAAGTAACTCTGCTAGATTATAAACTCTCTGTGGGTCACAACTATGTTGTAATTTTTTTTTGGCCATGCAGGGCTTAATGCCATATATTGAATGACTGGGGAAGTAAGTAAAGGGAGAGACCCCAGAAATGGTACAGGGGTCAAGCTGTGCACCCGCAGATTGCTGATAGGTGCCCCTGATGCTGGACCTGCCTGTGTAGCTGTTCCAAGGCCATTGTTTCCTGGATACACCTGACAACAGGATCTAAAGGCTTTGTGAGGGAGGCAGGAACTAGACAAACAAGCATGACTATGACTTCATTCCTATTCCCAGAGAGGAGACTGCTCCTTAGAATCAAATGGGGTTTGAAATGTAGAGCCTTCAGGCTAGTCTCCCCATCCTCAGGATCTGCCTCAAAGACATAAGGATATTGGAGGACAATAGGAAGAATATTTTGTATGAGAGTCCTAAGGAGCTTGTGGAGCAGTTACTGTCTGTGGCATCAGCGGATAGGGAAGGCCCTCTGACCCTGGGTGTCCTGAATTGCTAACATCTGCCCCAAGTTGGTGGCACTGCTTTCCTCAAGGCGTCTGTGAACTGAGCCGAGCCTCTGTCACAGCACTTTAGGAAAGAGATGGCAGCTGCAAGAACTGTGGACGATGGACATAGGAGCACTTCCTATGCGCGTCTGTCGTCAGTGCTGGATGCTGCTCAGGAAAATGGGTGATTCTGAGTGTGTAGCACTTGTGTCATATTGGTTGTCCTGTCACTTGACACCCTTCATCCTTAGATAATTGTAACATGATGGGGCCTGCTTGTTGGGGTTTATATCTCGCCCAGTTCCCACAGCTGTTTAGCCCCAAAGAAAATCACACAGAGTCTACATTAGTTATAAAGCTGATTGGCCCATTAGGTCAGGCTTCTTACTGGCTAACTTTCACATCTTGATTAACCCATTTTTCTGATCTATTTTAGTCATATGACTCAGTACCTTTTTCAGCTGGCAGGTCACATCCTGCTTCCTCGGTGATCTGGGCAGGAGTGGGAGGAATCAACTTCTTCCTTCCCAGAATTCTCCTGTTCTCATTGCATCATTTCTACTTCCTGTCTGGTTTTCCCACCTATACTTCCTGCCTGGCCAATCAGCATTTATTTAAAACATGATTGACAGAATACAGACAATTCTCCCGCACCACATAATTAAGATGAAGACATAAACACACATGTACATACACACACCCAAACATGTATTTCTGTATGATGCATACACATGCACATTTATATGATGTATATACACACATGGTGCTTGTCCTGTGGAGAACAGAAATTCCAACAAGCAAAGATGAGGATTTGTTCTTTCCCTAACAGAAACACTCAGTATAATGCATTGAGAACTGATATCCAAGTCACCTCAATGTTTTTCAGTCTTCATCAACAGAACCCTGCTACTTCATTTTTTTCCAGGATTTTAGTAAAAAGAAATTTGTGTTTTCACTGACACAGAACAAGGAGCCTTTCAAACAGCCACCTCCCAGTGGGCCTGGGTATCCTGCCCACCTAAGAAACAAGAAAGTGGCCCGCTGATCCCTTGCCTGCTCTTATTGTACCACACCTGGTCAGACAGCTCAGGAAGTAGAGTGAGGACAGAACCCCAGAGGTAAAGGCCAGGCAGCAGCTCTCGGGGCTGGTGAGACCTTGTGGGCTGTAAGAAGGCTGGACTGGGAGGAGATGGGGCTTGGCTGTTTTTGCCTTTCCCACAACTTTCTTTGTCAATAGTCTCCTGTCTGCTCCCTGGGATCTTTGTCTCTGGGAGCTAATAGCGAACATGGCAGATACACGCGCATGCTTGCATGTATATAGTTGCATATATAGATAGAGCAGAAACAAATTAAGAACATCTGAATTTTGCATGTCTAACTGGTAACAGTGAAGGGCTGAAAATATTAAACCTTTGGGTAGAATTAAAGAGGGCAATGAGAGCAATATTTATAAAATACACAAGAAATAACACTTTCTTTGAGCACCCAGTAGGTTTCACCACTGTTTCACCCTATCATTCTGCCCTCACGAAGTAGGCACAAAGTTCACAGTCCAGAGGAGTGAATAGGCTGGGAGAGTGTCTGAGTCTGCTTGGGTTGTTATAATAAAAACCTGGGTAAATGGGCTGACTTCTAAACATTATCATTTGGAAAGATGGAAGCCCAAAGTCCAGGCCAGTGGTTCTCAACTTGTGGGTTGCAACCCCTTTGGGGGCCAAGTGATCATTTCACAGGGTTTGCCTAAGACAATCCTGCATAGCACATATTTATATTATGATTTATAACAGTAACAAAATCACAGTTATGAAGTAACAATGAAAATAATTTTATGATTGGGGGGTCACCACAACATGAGGAAGTGTATTAAAGGGTCGTAGAATTAGGAAGACTGAGAACCGCTGCTGTAGACAGTGCCACTCAGAGTCTGGTGAACATTTTCTTCCTCATTGACTGATGGTACATTCTCTCTGTCATCATGTGGGACCAGGCAACTCCCAGGGGCATCTTTTAGAGGTCTGTATTTTTGTTCATGAGGGCTCCACCTTTCTGGCCCAACCATCTCCTCGAAAATCCCTTAACGGATTAGGGTTTGACCGAAATTTTCAGTGACCATGGACGTTTAGAACATGGCGCAGGACAAAGAGGTTTGTAAGGTTGAGAAAAATGATGTGAATCAGAACTTCAAGCTCCAAACCCATTGCTGTTGCTACTGCATAGCAATGAAATATTCTACATCTTAGTCTCCTTTTATATCATTTCTGTAAAATACTTCATATTTTATAAATGCTGCATATCTTAGAACTGCCCAATCACGTTATCAACAAAAAAAATCAGAGTGTAATTCTAACAAAAACACATAGCCTGCTTTCCTAAGAACTGGCATTTGTGAAATCCATAACTCATGTAGCTATTTGAGTTGTCACAGTTGAATTTAGGTCTGCCTTCTTTTGGAGCAGGAATGTTTACTTTTTTCTTCTTTTTTTGCGAAAGACCCAGAGAGCACATATTTTAGACCCTGTAGTCAGTTTGCCTTTGCGGTGTGAGCCGCCACAGGTGACGCACAAGTGACGAGCTTCGCGTGTTTCCGCGAAGCCAAAGTAGGTGGCTCTGGGTTTGACTCCTGGGTGCAGTTTGCCAGTTACTGGTCCCTGAGAATTACCAGTCAGTCTCAGAGAATGGGGGAATCTGAACAATTCCTGCTTACTGCTTCAATGCCCAACATTGCAGAGGTTACCGGGCAGCTCACTCTTGCATGTAGCGAGTGATGAATGCTGGACAGAGCCGGTAAGACATTCCTAATGGAGCAAACAGCTCACAAGTGTGGTTTCAACACGAGGCAAATTTATGATTTAAGGCAGGAAGGTAGCTTTAGAAGCTGTCTTCTGCCCTGGACAGGGTTAGTTCCCTTTCGCCACTTTGGCTTCTCTTCCTTGGATCCGTGGAGATGGAGAAAGACAACTCCCAAGGGAAGAATGAAGGAGAGAAGTAAGCATTGAGCAATGCAGAGTCGAGCTCTCTGCCAGGACTTTTGCAAGTACTGCTTCCTTGGTTCTCGCACCTGTGGGTATCATCACCCGCATCTAGAGCCCGACAGCCTTTGGCACAGGTGCTGGATCCTGGGCCTGCTCCCAGGGCTATGTTCCTGGGGGTCACTGGAGGTTGAGTTTCCACATTCCTGCCCACAGCCAGCTCTGGACTGGGCGTCTGATGAGCTGAGTGCTTTTGATCTCCATACCTGGCTAAGCATCACTGGCCATGGTGCTCTCAACTTTCCAGCTCTTGGTCCACACGGGAATGTTGTTTTCATCCTTGCGGGGATGAGCCTGGTGGGGGCTCAGCACCAAACTCGGTCACATTCCTTCTGTCAGGCAGCTGCCGTCACTCCCACCTCCCACCCCAGGCTTTCTCTTTCTAGCCTGTGGTCAGGAGGCTGGCCTGCTCCTTGGGAAGGTGAGAGAGAAAACTGGGAGGCTGGGGGGTTGGAGGGAGCCATCACAGCTCTCTGACTCTGCATCTAATGGAAATAACACTTCGCTGGCACAAGGAAGCTGGTGTCAGCCCAGGCTCAGCTGCACATTCTCGAGTGGTACTGGGCCAGCGTGTGTCTGCCCCCCCCCCCCCCCAGACTCCTTAAAGTATCTCTTCTCACCTGTGTGAGGAAGCGATGTTCTTGCTGGCCTGACTATCTCATGGTACAGTAATTAAGAACTGGCTCAGTACCGCCTGAGAACAACCTCTCCCCTCCTGGAAGAAACAGCATCCAATGCGTGTCTGCTGTGTAGCTCCAAATTTCCCAGCTTCTGGAAATACAGACTTCTGGGCCCACCCTGGGAGTTTCTAATTTGGTCATCTGGGGTGGGCCTGGTGTAGTTGCATTACAAATATTAAGCTGTATTAAATAAGCCTCTGAAAGAATTTCTGCTGTGTGATTGCACAGCAGGGTGACTGCGGAGGAACAATAAGGTATTGTATATTTCAGATTGAGATGAAAGGATGTTGAGTGTTTCTACTCCAGACAAATGGTACATATTTAAGGAAGGAAATGCATTTCCCTTGATTTGCACGTTGTACAGTATACACACAGTCTGAGTTTGATCCCTGGGACTCATATAGTAAAAAGAGAGGGCCAGCTCCTACAAATCATCTTCTGACTTCCACACATATGCTGTGGCATGCATTCATGTATGTGTACAAGCACATAAAAGTAAGTAAGGGCTGAAAAAAGTTAAGTCGAAAGTTAAAGACATTTGACTTACTGAGGTACTATTGACTTTCAAAAATAGCCTGCAGATACTTACTGTCATGATTTGGGTTTATGCATGCAGATACGATATCACTACAGTCAATGTGATAACAAAAGCACCCCTCCCCATGGAAGGGGCTGCCCTATTCCATGGTGGCATCCTAAACCGAATAAAAAGGACAAACCAAGCTGAGCTCTGGGATTCATTGCTCTATGCCTCCTAACTGCAGGTAGCATGTGACCAGCTGCCTTAAGTTCCTACATCATGACTTCTCCAACACAGTGGACTGAGCCCTGGAAGTATGAACCAAAATGAGCTCTTCCATCTTACACTGCTTTAGTTAGATATTTTATCACAGACAGTGAGACAAGTCACTAATACAATTACCGAAAGACTGCACTGTGAGTGTGAAAACATCATAATGAAACCTCTCATTTTGTGAATTAATACATGCTCATAAACCCTTTCTTTGCAGAAGTAGACAATTTAACTGTAAAGACAAATCCAGCGTGTGTCAGAAATAGCAGATAGTGGAGTCTCCACGGGAAGAGTGGCCAACATCTGTTCTGCACACCTTACCCACGTCTGTCCATCCACATGTGCCTTAGAATTAGGGATCACACATGTACATGAAATAGCTTAGCATCCTTGGTGTAGGAGGGTTCTTCTTTTTATGTGTTGCTTTCATTGGTCAATTAAAGAAACTGCCTTGGTGTTTTGATAGGCCAGCCCTTAGGTGGGTGGAGTAGACAGAACAGAATTCTGGGAGAAAGAAAGCAGAGTCAGAGAGCTGCCCTCCATGAAGCTGCCAGATCAGACATGCTGAATCTTTCCCGGTAAGCCACGACCTCGTAGTGAGATACAGATTATTAGAAATGGGTTGAATCAATATGTGAGAGTTAGCCAATAAGAGGCTAGAACTAATGGTCCAGGCAGAGTTTAAATGAATACAGTTTCCATGTAATTATTTCAGGTGTAAACTAGCTGGGGAGCCGGGATCCTGGCGAGAACATGACACATCCTTTTATGACACATCCTGCCCAAAGCAGCACTGAGATAGCCTCTGCCTTGCCCCTCCATAGTAGTATACACTGGCACTCTCCACTTTTGGGAAGCAAAGTCAGGAGGACTGTAAGTTTCAAAACAGCCCTGGTTGCATGACAAGACTCTGTCTCAAATTAATGGCAAAAATAAAACACTGCACTAGTCAGAGGAGAAAGAGCTTTCACGGGTCTTTAAAGAAAATGTGGACTCTGCAAACAATAGGATAAGACTGAAGCTCTACAAGGGGCAAAAGCCTATAGTTCAGAACAACGGAGATCAGCTCAGAGAACACTGTGCTGAGTGAAATAAGCCACGAAAGCAAATGTTATGTGATTGTACTTATCAGAGGTCTCTAAAGCGACCAGGCTCAGAGAAACTGAGAGAACAGTGGTTGGCAGGGGTCAGGAATGGGAAAATGTGGCTTTGGTGCTCAGTGGGCTCACACTTTATGTTGCAAGACGAAAAGTTACTAGAGATCTACTGCACAGCACCATGCCCATAGACAGCACTGCTCACTCTTGGACATCCCAAGACACTGGGCCTATGTAGGGCGTGTCTTCACACTTCAAAGAACCTAATGTAGATAATTCCTCTCAGGCATGTCAAGAGGTTCACCGTCTAGGTGATTCTAGAACCTACCATATTAGCCATCAAGATGGCTTATTTTCACAATCATGTCTACCCTTTATCACCCTCTATGCTGGGTAGTTTTATGTCAGCCTGGCACAAGCTGGAGTCATCTGAGAAGAGGGGGCTTCAATTTTAAAAATGCCTCCATAAGATTGATTAGTATGCAAGCCTGTAATTGATTAGTAAGACAAGATGGTACCAGGAGTGGGGTCTTTCTGTGACAGACCTGACCATGTTGCTTTGGGAAGGATTATGGAAAAGACTTTTGAACTTTGTGCAAGAAAAGCCATTGAGTGTTCAATGCTTGGTGAGCTGTTCTGTAGGATTTGGAAGATAAGAATGTTAAAAACAGCACAGATGATAGAGGCTTGGATTGTGAAGTTTCAGAGGGAAACAAAGACTCTACCTGGACTTGTTTTGTGAATAATCTTTGTTTCTGGTTAGATGGGGCTGCAATCAGTAAGATACCAGATTTACTAAAGTGAAACCTTTGCTTTCTTGGGATAGTTGATGCTGATCATCTGGAGATGAGAAATTTGTGGTGATTAAGAAGAGACTAGCATCGTTGAGGTGAAGTCTCTGGAAAGTGCTTCCTGAGAGTCATCCCACAGAGGCTGTGTTCCAGGCATGGTACCTTGTGCTGGCAGCTGAACTTGGTAGTGTAAAAGTCACCCAGGTTGTGCTGGCTTTTGAAGGTATGAGGGGGTTACAGAGTGGCTGAGGCTTGGTACTGTGTGGCAGGGCTGTAGTCCCTGAAAAGAACCTATGAGAGGCTACTGGTAAAAGTGCCGCTCAGCTGCAACAGAAGACTCCAGCATTTTGAGGTTGTTAGTACCATGGAGTGACCACCAGCAGCAGTAGAGTGAAGATTACCCAGGCATAGAAAACCTATATGTGCTGCAGAGGGTGGAGCTGGAGAAGTGACCCAAGCCCTTTGGAGGAGCATAGAGGATTGTGAATGAATCCCAGACATTGGATGTAGAGATATTATACTTTTAGAGTTTGGTTTTGCTATGTGATTTGATTGTGATTGTGCCTTGGTCCTTGAAGTAAGAAAGTATTTAATTTATTTTTGGTTTTAGAAAAGCCCACAGTTGATAGATTTTAATTTTTTTCAATTGGTAAATAATTTTTTAAATATATTATTATTATTAAAAAAATTTCACCTCCTCCCCTCCTCCCATTTTCCTCCACCTCCCCCTATTCCCCTTCTCCCTCCCTCTCCAAAGGAGATTGACTATTTTGAAGAGACTGAACTTTGAATGCGTTTGAATTTGTAGAGACCAGGGTTTTTAAAAGTTATTTATATTTTTAATATGAGATACTGGGGATGAATGGGAAAGGAGAGGTTGTAGCTTAACAGTGATGTGTTTGTGTGTCAAACTTCAAAGGAGTCAGTTGTGCTGGATAGTTTTTTATCAACTTGACACAATATGGAGTTATTTGAGAGGAGGGAACCTCCATTAAGAAAATGCCCCCATAAGTTTGGGTTGTAGGCAAGCCTGCAGGGCATTTTATTAATTGGTGATTAATGGGGAGAGGTCCTAGCCCATGGCTGATGGTAAGATCCCTGGGTTAGTGGTCCTGTGTTCTATAAGAAAGCAGGCTGAGCAAGCCATGGGGAGCAAGCCGGTGAGCAGCACTCCCCTATGGCTTCTGCATCAGCTCCTGTATCCAGGTCCCTGTCCTGGTTGAGCTTCTGTTCAGACTTCTTGGATGATGAACAGTGATATGGAAGTTCAAGCCAAGTAAATCTTTTCCTCCCCAACTTGCTTTTTGGTCATGGTGTTTCGTCACAGCCATGGAAACTCTAACTAAGACACACTCTTTTCTCCCACTTCCACTTCCAGTTCCACTGAGCATCTCTCTCTTTGTAACTAGCTCCCCTGCTACTTGTATGCCTTTTCTCTTTCTTCCTTTGTGTCTTGATGGGTTTTACTGGTGTTGCTTGTCAAAGCACAGGTCAGGCATTATTTATTGAGACATGGCCAACTTACCAGAGTCTAAACTACTGAAGAGAATCTCTGTCCTTCCACAAGCACTCATTAACTGTTTATCAATCAAACCTTCTTGATGTTGTCATCAAATATCTTTTCCGCTGTATCTTCTAATGACACTTGACCTTGAGCTAATGACTGAGCTCCCCCGCCAGAGTTCTGTTCACTCTTAGTTCTCAGAACTAGCACAATGGCGCATGCCATAGCAGTAATCAGTCTTTGCTCAGTAATAATAACTTTGAAATGCCAGAAGAACATCACCTCAGGATATTGATTGGCCACAATGTAATAAACATAGACATGGTACAGGTTAAAACTTTATCTGTATACTAAATTTTATCTGTCACTTTCTTAAGTCTAGGCCTTAGTTTGTCTTGTTTACCAATTTCTCTGGTGTAGACACCTCTGCTGAGTGGATAAGCAGCATGATGCAGCTCAATATAGAGCTGGGAGGAGAGGCCTAGTGTCTCAGACAGACTATGTAGTGTTCCCACCACGCTGCCGGAATAGACATAAATAATCTCACAGCACAAGTCATTGTAACCTAGTTACTAAGGGCCAGATTTTGAGGCTTTGCTACTTTTGTTTTTAGTATGCCACTGGTCATATCCTGATGAAGCCTGCATTAGCAGAAGACATCATTAGGAACATCATCAATAGTATAATATATTTAGTATCCCTAAACTGCTAACCATTACAGCTTAACCCAGCCTACATCTAAGAAAGTGTTCAGAAAACGTCCATTAGCCTACATGGGCAAACACCAAGCTCTCTCTCTCTCTCTCTCTCTCTCTCTCTCTCTCTCTCTCTTTCTCTCTCTTTCTCTTTCCCTCTCTTCCTCCCTTCCTCTCCTGTTTCTTTTTTCAGGACAGGGTTTCTCTGTAACTTTGGAGCTTGTCCTGGAACTTTCTCTGGAGATCAGGCTGCCTCCCGAGTGATGAGATTAAAGTTATGTATCAACACCACCTCTCTTTTTTTGTTTTTTATTTCTTGTAGTCAGGCTATTCTGGAACTCACTTTGTAGATCAGGCTGGCATTGAACTCAGAGATCCACCTGCCTCTGCCTCCCAAGTCTAGGATTAAAGGCATGCATTACCATTGCCTGGCCCAAGCAAAACAAACACAAACAAACCAAAAACCAAAACACATGTGAAAAGTCCTCCAAAGAATAGATGTCTGAACATGATTTCATATATCATTATGAAGTAAAATATATCTTTAGTTAGGGCCCTGGAAATTTATCTGACTGAAAGTTTACAGAATTTATGTGCTAAACAAACGTTTTGTTTAACACATGACTTGCATAATTACTCAACTTTTAGCAAGCGCCTCTCAAGAACTCTCTGAAGTAGATTGCTGGAATCAGAATAGTCCAATAGAAGGTATCACTTAAAAATTACATGTATGTATGTATGCATGTGTGTGAGTGTGCATGTGCCATGGCATGTGTGTGGAGGCCAGTTGGTTCTCTCTTTCTACCATGTGGGTGTTTTGGGTAAAACTCAGGGCATCAAGTTTAGTGACAAGTGCCTTTACCTGCTGAGCCATCTCTTCAGCTCAAGAAGTTAGGGCCTTTCTGTTGCAAATAATGAGTTCAATCTAAACAGGCCCAAGTCAAGGGGGATTATTTTTGTGTCATAATGTTTTAAAACTGGAAGGAACATGGGGTAGGTGTGACTTAAGGCCATCTGTCCTTAGGACATTTTCCCTATGCATTTCTCTCCTCTGTCGGGTGTCAGAGTGCCTGTCTCCATCTGAGGCCTCCTCCTTCTGGGTTTCAGATTAGTAGCGAAAGTTTAGGTGCTTGCCTGTAGTAGATCATGTTCTATGATGTAGGCATAGTGGTCAGGGCAGTGTGCAGGCAACATGGGATCCTTGTTCCCCAAAGTGCCTGTAACTGAGAGTGGGAAGAACTGATTCTTCTGAGGAAATCCTAGTCACTGGAAGAGTGCAGAGTTGTAGACGTTGAAGCAATAGCCACTGGAGGATCTCCAGCCTTTTATTAAAAAATAGATTCTTTTCTATCATACACTATATCCTGATGACAGTTTCCCTTTCCTCTATTCCTCTGATACAGATCAGTTTCTCATCAGAAAAGCACAGGTTTCTAAGCGATAACAACAAACACAACAGCATAACATGCAACAAGTCAAAACAAAAAAACATTGAAATCGGACAAGGCAAACCAACAGAAGGAAAAGAGCCCCAAGAGAAGGAACAAGAATCAGAGATGAATTCATCTACACACTCAAGAGTCCCATAAAGATACTAAATTGAAAGATTTAATATATATGCACATATTTCTCTAGCCAGAAGGCCTATTTCTGGAATAGACAGCTCTGGTGTTACGAAAGCCGTCATGGGGATTCAACAGGGCAGTTAGTTCATCTGTGCGAAAGAGGAAGAAGAGGTGGGAACCAAGCGGGATGAGCAAGGCAGCAACATTCTCAACAGCTCTGTGACTTGGGTCTGGCCTTAATCAAGGAGGGGGTGATAAGGTGTTTGTGAGAATTTTAAATCTCAGGATTCACAATGTGGGAATCCTGTTTGGGTAGGAAGCTCTTAAGGATGGAGGCTCTAAGAAGAAATGACTTTTCTGGAGGGCGTTTTGCTGGTCTAGCTTCTAGGGAGTCAGTTTGTGTCCTTGTCTTACCAGCCATCACTCCTCTCTGAGGGTGCCTTATCTTCAGGCCAAGAGAAGGCCCTTAAAGTTAATGTCTACAGAGGTACCAGGTGCCCAGAGAAATGAAGGGCAAATTGAGGGACCCCAGGCTAATCTCTCCACCAAGAAACTCTGAAAGAAGAGAAAAGAAGCTTGTGTTGGCAGTGGGCAAGTATTGCTGCAGTGTTTTGGATGCAGTTTTGAGGAGGTGAAAGGGAGAAGGTTTGAATAGAACCAGATGTGCTTTGTCCATTCCAGGGTAATGACTGGTTCATTGGGGTCAGTCGGGGCCATGGGTGAAGGCGAGAAGGCCAGGCTTCTTGTGTAGGGGTGTTCCAAAGCTCTCCTTATCTGCATTGACCAGAAGTTGGCCTGGGGTTATCTGTCTACTTTCAGCAGCGTAGGGCTGAGAACCTGCTGTATGCTTGTAGACCATATATATGGAGACGATCTTCTGCACATGCTGGTCATAATACCAGACGTTTCCACACCGCCCCTCAACTACTCATTATAGTAGGTTAGTGGTTCTTAGTTCCTTGGCCTATAATTCCCTGAGCTAGCATGGGGGCAGAGCTGGACTCCATGCCAATTTTTTTGAACTGTGCATTGCTGGCATGTCTGGCATTGACGGTGCATGAATCACATATGCAGTCACAACTGGCTCTACCTGGGTGGGGTTGCGTCTTGTTCCCAGCCTGTCCCTGGTGGCTCCTGGCAAAAGTTGAAAGTATGTAATTATATGTACATTTTTCTCCACCCTCAGAGTAGGTATTAAGAATTTTTTTTTTGCTGTATCACAGAGCAGTTAGATACTTTTTCTGAGTTTTCATAGATTATCATTTAAAGTCAAGTCTGCGCAAATTGAAAGCTGGGAGGCATCCCATTATGTGGTACATTGTCCCCCTTGTCCTGACCTGGTGCTGTTCATCTTCTCTCTATGTTGGGTAGAGTGAACTGGGTATAGATGATGGGGGGAGAGCTACACTGGGGCCATTGGCATCACTGCCTCATTGAAAGAGAAGCCACATGTAGGCCA